TATCTAATAGCTGTACATTAATGGGTTGCCTTTGTAATCCTACATATTTTATTTTATGAATTTAAAAACGTTATTCTGGGAAAGAATATATAGGTTTAACCAGATTATGTGACGTGTCCATGGCATAAAAAAGGGTAAGAAAGAACCCTGGACACAATAAATCTTAAAATGTTTGGAGTAAATTTGTGTTCCAACTTAATTTTGTTGGCTCTTTTCCTTAGCATTAAATTTTTTCACACATTCTGAAATTTGGGGTTGCAGGTTTATTTTGTAGATTTTTTTTGGTTCTCTCTTTTTTTTTTTTACCCTCTCTACCTCCGTGTTCCCACATACCTGGGCCACGATTCCAGAACCAGTCTTAAATGGTGGTTCAGAGTATTACAGATCCTGTCATGGAGGTATTAGGTGGCAAATATTCATATTTATTAGGATATGTCCTCTCACCTCTTAAGCTTTCAGTCCCATATAAGTTCTGGCAGTGGTTACGAGGAAGTTTTTTTCGGTCTCCTTTCTTGAGCAAAACTGCCTGGACCTAGTCCTTGTTTTTAAGCAGGGTGCAAGGATCTAATTCTCTATTCCCTATGGATAAGGTGGCCTTTGTTGATTTTGGTGGGTTTCAAGGGAGAGGAATGAAGTAAAAATGCCTTTATTTCATCATCTTTAGCCAGTTTTACATAGAGAGCTCTCAGTATTGTTTATACTCCATAATTTTAGTTTCTCTCTTCTATCTAGATCTTTAAAAACCATGTTTTTAATTTCATTTTATTAAGAATTTTAATTTTGTTTTATGTTCAAGAATGAATGCTTATTTTCTTTTTATCAAAATGCTTTAAAGCATCTGTGTATTCTAGATAATCATATACTTTTTGATTTGTTAACATGATAATTTAATATTTCCTAATACTCATTTGTATGTCTTAAAGAGCTGCATTTAATTATGGCATGTGATTCTTTTGAATCACGTATTTAAGAATTTGTGTCAATGATCACACATAAAACTTGTCTGTTTTTACGTATATGCATGTGTGTTATCTTTTTAAAGTTTTGATATAATGATTTTGGTAAAGAACTAGACAATTCCTAAAATCACTTTTTGATCTGTGTAAATCCAAATTCATTAATTCCTTCTAGAATTTAGGAAATCTTCCTCTAGATATAGGGCTCACCTTGAATTTTGTTCTGCATTTTAGTATTATCCTGGTTTTTAGTGTATCTTACTTTGTCAAATCTCAAGAAGTCAACACATGATCAAAACCAGATGGTTGTATTCCATGTTATCTCTTCTGTGCTGGTAATAATTTCCAAGTTTTACATAACTACTGGTAAGCTGCAAGTTTACTTTTTACGTTAAAAGATGAAGATCTCTATAAATGTTAGTTTCATATTAAAAAATCCAATATTTAGTAAAAATGTTATTTGTAAACACATTTATACTTGGTCATACTACAACAGAAAATAAGCTTATTGTTTAGATTCTAACACTGATACTGTCGCAGAAAAACAACCTTAATGGTGCATCCTACCCATCAATTGAGCAAGAGAATCAAACTTTTCATGGAGAACAGATTCCAGATGTGCCAAGCTCCTGGGTTCCAGGAGGGATAGCCTAGGGCAGAGGGCACTAAAAAGAAAACAAACTACATGGCCTGTGTTTATGGCCTTCGCAGAAAAAAGAGGACAGACGACAGTTATGTTTCTCAAGATTGGTTCCCTCATTAAGTAATAAGTACTAAAAAAGAATATAGAAAAAGATGAGAAAGTAGGCTACATTTACAAGTCTTATTTTAAAAAATGTAAAATGAAGGAATTTGAATCTATATGTCCAAAGTCCCTTCCACATTGAAAATTATGATTCCTACCCATAAAAGGTTACACGTGAAAGGATGTTGAAGGTTCCTTCGTGGGCTACACTGCCTCTGTGATGGGAATGGAATTCCTATTTGTTTCATTTCAAGCTGCAGTTCCTTGTTAAGGCACACTATTTTTTCCCCTATTAGTAAATATTTTTTTCTAATGGCCTTGATATAATTTTCCTAAGCAAGCAATATCTAGTTCTACTAAATAGTTTTCTTCAATATCTTATTCCCACATTATTTTTCTCTACAAGTAATTCACTAAATGTTTTTAAATTTAATCTGAACCTCCCTTATTTATATCACATTTATTCTTAGAATCTTATTTCTCCTAGGAATGCCTTTAACTTTGTATTCCTAATACATGTTCTTTTGTTTCCAAGTTATTAAAAAAATATTTTTATAGATACAGAATTTTCATAAACAGCTTGTTTCAAGTTTTATACATACATACGTAAATATACACAGATATGCACCTACAATCATGTTTTAACTCTAAGTAGAAGGCTCTACTAATGAGACCAAGGATATGGGCTAGATCTCTAAGTGGATTAGTGGATTATTTGTCCCACTGCCTAAGATTAATCTTGATCCTAATAAGCTATTTTCCAAATGTGTACCTTTTGTTAAAAAGTAACTGAGAAGAATATAGATGGCTCATTGCAAATATATTAGAAAATGCTCACAATACATGAGCCATTATTCTTGGCTCATGGGCCATTATTCTTATTCTTAAGATGATATTGATAGCTATAATTTATTATATCTTCTGAAAAACCCTCCTTTTTATATAACTACATGTTAAGTAATATTACTTGAAAACTGAATTTATATTTTATAATAAAATGATATAATAATATAGAAAGGCATAAGAATTACCTTATAGTAATGATTTCCCCTGGGTTTGCCCTTATGAGCCAGCTACAGTTGATTTTGGCAGGATATTCAGAAGGCCAGCCTGGGCTTGTGATTATACCACTTGGTCCTCGAATTTGTTCTGGAGTCTCTCCACAAGCTGGAAGACAGATAGCCAAAGCAATCTTAGCTAATTATTATATTTTAAAACATAGTACTACTAGGTAAATCAGTGTTTTTTTTTTAAAAAAACAAAAACTTCAGATATCAAATAACAGACAATAAAATATGGTAGTATCAACCTTAAAAAGCTATGATTCTAATGAGATATTTCAATTTCCTCCCCTTCAGACAAAGTACCTTATCCCAATTAAGTATAGTAGCTCCCCTTATCTGAGGTTTCACTTTCCACAGTTTCAGTTACCTGAGGTCAATAGTAGTCCAAAAATATTAAATGGTAGATTCTAGAAAAAACAATTCATGAAGTTTTAAATTGTGCTCTATTCTGAATACTGATGAAATCTCTCACCATCCTGCCCTGTCCCATCCAGGGCATGAATCACCCTTTGCACAGCAGCGCTTCCATGCTGTATATGCCACCCACCCATCAGTCACTTAGTAGCCATTTGGTTATCAGATCAACCGTCACAGTGTTCAAGTGCCTGTGTTCAAGTAACCCTTATTTTACTGCATAATGACCTCAAAGAGCAAGAGTAGTGATGCTGACTATTCAAACAGAAGCCAGAAAGTATTTCCTTTAGATAAAAGTTCTCGACTTAATAATGAAAGAAAAAAAAATCATATGCTGAGGTTGCTAAAATCTACAGTAAGAATGAATCTTCTACCCATGAAATTGCGAAGGAAAAAAAGAAATTCATGCTAGTTTTGCTGTCACATCTCAAATTGCAAAAGTTATGGCCACAGTGCATGATAAGTGCTTAATTAAGATGGAAAGGCATTCAATTTGACAGCCATCAGGTTTGGTACTATCTGCAGTTTTAGGCATCCACTGGGAGTCTTGGACTGTATCCCCCCCATGGATAAGGGGGGACTACTGTACACATTTTGGGCAGGCAAGGACATGTTCAAATTGAATCACTGAATAACAGCTCAAGAGTCAGGACTACCAGCTTTAGCCATGGAGATCGATCCACCCACCCATCCACCCATCCATCCTTTTTCAAAACACATCTTTTAAATTTCTTTTCTTTATTTTAAACCACCTTTCCAATATTTCCTCAACCACTTTGTTTAAATCCTTAGGAGTATCATGTTGCTTTTAGGCTACTTTAAATAAACATAATAATATAATGCTGCATTGTAATTTTTGTTAAGAAGTTAGTGGATGACTCAATAAAGACAGCAAAACATTCAGAAGTACTGCAAAGCGGTTCTTCAACTTATTCCATTAATACTTCCAAACTTTATTACAGGGTCATGAATGATTCCTAAATTATTTAAAAATAAAGTCTTGAAATAGTCAGTGATTAAAATGTCATTATGTGATTAGATATCTGAATATCACAGAAGAAAGCTTCATGCAAATGGAATAAATCGAAACTAATACCAACACTTCCCTGGATTATTCTCTTTGTATTTTGAACTCTCATTTTAATATAGTTAGCATTATCCAGAATTCAGCCAATAATCTGACAATTTTTTCTCCCCCAATTAAACATACAATGAATATTTAAGCCTTCAGTAGAATTTAAAATCCTAGAACCTATTATTTAATGCAATTTCAACAAATTAGATTACTTGATTTTTAAAGTAACAGATTAGAAGCAGCAAATCAGAAGTGGGCAGAGTAGCTGTCAAGGGTACATAAGACAGTTATTGGAAGTGATAAGGCAATTTTCAGAAAAATAATAAAATCTACATGCTGAACTCAAAAACCATGAGCTCAGAATATGTATATTATTGCCTGTCTTTCAAAAATTAAGACTGTTTTATGATATAATAATAATTAATAAATCATTAATATTCACACCTATTTAAAAGAGTTGTTGAGTGAATAAATGAATCAGCATAAGCAAAGTGTCTGGTACAATATATGGCTTGAACACCCATGCTTTTTGAGTTTACCTATAGTTTAAATATCAGGTAACCTAACAGCCAAATATCCCTATTACAACTGTAATGTGGAAAAATGATCTTTTTGTTTGTTTGTTTGTTTAAAGAAATGGAGTCTTGCTACATTGCCCAGGCTGGAGTGTAGTGGCTATTCCCTATTCACAGGTGTGACTACAGTGCAATACAGCCTTGAACTCCTGGGCTCAAGTGACTCTCCTGACTCAGCTTCCCAAATAGCTAGGACTAGAAGCACACTGCTGCTCCCAGCAACTTTTTTTTTTTTTTTTTTTTGTGAGTATAATATAGTCTGTTCAATTTAGGTTAAGAATGCTATTAATAGAAAGTCTACCATGTAATTTAAAGACTTTATCCATAATGATCAAAATTAAACAAACTATACTGCTTAAAGTCAATCCTTCTTTCTATAGAACACCACATTTCCTAAAGAATATATGCATTCAAGAATTTAAAAGTATATTCTACTGCAGAAAAATGTTCATGCTTAAAATGGATCTACCCTGAATTAGGGTACATTGCCAAAGGGATCTTGTTTTGAATCACTTTTCAGAACACAGAGATTTGTGACACAGAACACACAGATACACCAAGAGCTTAGCACACACCTCATTGCCCAGGCAGAGTCAAAGCTTTCAAATTATTATTATTATTATTTTTTTTGAGACAGAGTCTCACTCTTTTTTGCCCGGACTAGAGTGCTGTGGCGTCAGCCTAGCTCACAGCAACCTCACACTCCTGGTCTCAAGCGATCCTCCTGCCTCTGCCTCCCGAGTAGCTGGGACCACAGGCGTGTGCCACCATGCCCGGCTAATTTTTCTATATTTTTTTAGTTGTCCAATTAATTTCTTTCTAATTTTAGTAGAGACGGGGTCTCGCTCTTGCTCAGGCTGGTTTTGAACTCCTGAGCTCAAACAATCTGCCTGTCTGGGCCTCCCAGAGTGCTAGGATTATAGACGTGAGCCACCGCGCCCGGCCAGCTTTCAAATTATTTTGCTGTCGTTATTCCCTTAAGTTTCATTAGGAGTAAATTTCCCTTATAAAAAAATTTTAATTCCGATGAACAATGTTTTTTAAAAAAACTAAATTTATCCAAATGTAATTCTATTTTAAGAGCTTATTAATAATAAAGTGGCAAAGTTTTGCTTCTACTTTGCTCTTGAGTTATCATTAATTTAATGTAAAGCTACCTTAAGTCATTTATAAGATCTTCTTTTTCACTGTCTCTTAACTAAAGTATTCTGGAGTAATATGCTAAAGGAATTCTTAAGTTCATGAAGACAGAAACAAACATACAGATAAAGAGGCAAAAATACTCATTACCCTTTCCCCAGAATATAGAGCCTTGTTTATTTTCATTAAAATATTCATCTACATTAAATAATACAATTTTGAGTTAAATTATATTTAACTCAGAATTATAATACTGTATTGGCATATAAGTATTCAAAAACATTAGCTGATTTAACAGCAGTGAGACACAGCCAAAAACTACGTGGGAGTAATTTATGACAAGCAGAAAATTGCTAAGCTTTAAATAAATGGATAGATTAATTATAGACAAAAACTAGAAAGAATTTTATTAGATTTTTGTTTTATTAGATTTTGAGAAAAAAATTCCAAATACATGAAAAACCCATAGGTGGTGCTCTTATACCAAAAACTAAAGCTAAAGTAAGATGCTAGTATGACACTTAAAAAAAAAATTTTGTTAATATTTTATTTTTACACAACCGCCCAAGGATAAGACATACCCCCCATAAAGAAGAATGGTTACTTTAAAATTCAGTAGTTACTTTTCTAATTCAGTATGTACTTTCATAATATTATTTTAAAATATTAATGATTCTCCCTAATCAAAAACAAAACCATAGTATGAGGTTTCTCCCTGAATTGGTTATAAATATATATATTGATTTAGTTTTGTACATTTGCAACATGACTGAATTTAGAATTTTGTTTCAGATTTAGCCAGTGGCTTTTTACCAACACATTTCTGCATGTACAGTACATTTGGTATGTAGATAAATATACCCTAACGCAACCATAACTTATTGTCCTCTATATCTAAGAAAGAATAAATTTCAAGTGCCAAAAGCAACTATTAAAACAATTTTTCCCTCCCTTTCCAGTTAAGAGTTTGCCCATATATACCGGAAGATTTGGAATCAGAAAGACCTAGGTGCTGTCTGTTCTATCTGCCACTTACTGGCTTTGCCATAGTGTAAACTACTAAACCTTTCTGGGTATTAGTTTCCTTTTGTGTTAAAAGAAGGCATTGCTATTTTAATGGCTCTGAGGTCTACTTCAGCCCTCAATCACACATCTCTTCCCCTCATCATCATGATGTATTTCTAATATATTTCTGACAGCTCATCAGGATGCACTGATACATTTTTCAGTTTCTTACCTTGCATTAACTCTTTGACCCACTGAAATCAGACTTCCAATTCTTACCTGACCCCCACAGAAACCCTGCTAGTAGGCAAAGGCCATCACTGACATCACTGACAAATCCAATGGACCCTCAGTCTCCAAGGTACTTGATCTTTCTGGAGAACTTGACACACTGACTTTCTTTTCTTCTTGGTAATGTACTACCCTGACTTTGCGGATATCACCTCTTCTGGTTCTCCTCCTAACTCTGACTGTTCTGTGTTGGTTCTCTGGTACTAGATCCTCCACTTCCGTAGCCAGCCCCTGATTTACTGGTTTTGCAGCTCATCCCTAAGGCCTCTGCTCTTTTCACTGTCCATGGAAGATCTCAGTCACTCCTACAATTTCAACTATGATCTACAGGTTATAAGTTTAAAATCTCTAACCCAGAGGCTTTGCACAGTCAAATGCCTGCTGGACATTCTAACCTCAAATTCAACATGATCAGAACCGTGTGTTTCCTAAATCCTTCTCTTTATCCTATATTCTGAAACTACATTGTCTTAGGCATCATTTGGCTGATGGAGTAGGCACTTAAGTAAAAACGAAATTTACTTTAAGAATACCACAGGCAATTGCAAGGATTTTCAAGGATAGGAAATAAAGTAAAGCCAGGCCTCACAGCAATTAAAACTG